ATGATGGTCGATCAATCGGACTAGATGGCTCCTCTAACATGTTCTCCAACCAAATATCGAGCCCATCGTCCTCTTCCTCGTCGGACTCACCGGGGTTGATGACCACTTCCGTATCAGCGGTGCGCGACGATGCGCGCGGTGCGCGTTTGCGTGCGCAGTTGTACGCACGGCATGCATGTACACGTGCGTGCTTAGTGCACCTTGTGTGCATTCGTGACTTGGCTTGGTTTCGACTTCAGACTTAATTCCGAACATGCTTAACTATTAATAATTAATCCCGATTAATAATGTCCGTTTATAAAATAAACGGTTCGGAAATTAATTATCGAATTTGACTCGGTTAATAATTAACTAGATAAACTTTTCGACTTAACATCGAACGTATTCGCTGAAAATGAACGGAATTAATAAAGGATAATACATCATTTTCATTAATAAGAAATTGGGTTATTACACCAAAATTACAAAAACAAATAATTAACAAATAAAAAAAATCTCTCGTCAGTTTTTCCAATATGTATCTCCATCTCCAAAAAAACATAAATCCCTCCCTATATATTAATTCAAAACATGTGAAGCCTAAGTGACAAATTTTCACGCTTCGAATGTTGACATGACGAAAATCTATGTTTCATAGTGTTGCTTATGTATTCATTTTTGCTTTGGAGTCAGGCTTGGTATTAGACATAAATAACTTTTTTTTTTGTTTTTAAACTTGGTAAATGTATATTTAATTTTGTTATTTTTTTCTCTTAGTACATATTTCCTTCTTAGTTTGAGCAAGTAGCATTCTTAGCATATTATAAATTTCTATCATATTTATGTCCTAAATTATGATTTACAAATCACTTCACTATTTATTCCTTTTTTTTCATCAATTAGTCCATCAAAATTTTAAAATAAAAAATTTACTTTAACAATAATTTTTATCATATATTTCTTAACTCAACACCCGTATAGCACACGAGTATTGTACTAGTATATTTAATTATATAAATCATTAGTATAGAATAAAAAAATACATGGAATTTCTTCCCTAATTATAAGCACTTTATTTTTTGATAGGTTGACTATTATTAGTTTGGAAAACATTCCGATACACGTAATTCAAATTTATTTAAATTGTAACGTAATTTTTTTTTATCTTAGTACACATTTCCTTCTTAGTTTGAGCAAGTAGCATTCTTAACATATTATAAATTTTTCTCATATTTCTCTCCTAAATTATGATTTACAAATCAGTATCACTGTTTAATTCTCTTTTTTTTTAACAATTAGTCCATAAAAATTTTAAAATAAAAAAATTAGTTTAGCAATAACTTTTATCATATTTTATAAAAAAATAGTACACGGGTATTGCACTAGTATATTTAATTATATAATCATTAATATAGAATAAAAAAGACATGGAATTTCTTTCCTAATTATAAGCACTTTATTTTTTGATAGGTGGACTTAGTTTGGAAAACATTCCAATACACATATTTCAAATTTATTTAAATTGTAACATAAATAAAAAATGAACCATGATTTACTAATTATTTTTAATGTCAAATCCATCATATTCTCCCTATATATAATTCCCGAATGTGCTGAGCATAAGTGGCATGCTGGCATGTTTCGGGATCCTAGGTGTCAAAATTACATGCTTTAGTATTAGGGTTGGATAATTTTTAATTTAATTTCAATCCAAAAATAATTAGGTTCGGATTACCATAAATATTTTGATTTATTTATGATAATTTTGGATGTATTAATTGTATTTTAATATCATTTCCTATTATAACTATTGAATTATAAACGTGTTTTAAAAGTTGATAACTTTTGTATTTTTTTATCGGTTTTACATATATAATATATCAAATTAATCATTTTTTATGAGCTTCGATTTGACATCCATATTGTATATAATAAAATAAACAAATTATATTTATCTGTTAATAATAAAAAATATTTATTAAAACTTATTATAAAAATAAAATTATTTCTCAATTATTATATTATGTTTAATGTAATGTTATAAGTTAGAAAAATTATTATAATATAACACATGTAAGTCGCACAAGTAATAAGTGTCACTAAGGATGGCAGTGGTTCGGGTTCGGATCGGATGGAACCTCAGGGCACCCAAAACCAAAACCCAAACTTAAAAACCAAAACCAAAACCAAAACTGTTTCGGGTGAAAATCCTTCACCAAAACCAAAACACGCGGATACCCAAAAACCAAACGGATACCCAAAAAACTAGATAAATATTATAATAAAACACTAAAGACAACAACATAAAACATGATAACTTAGAGAGTACCAGGCAACCAGTTACAAATTAGCAAGTACCAACGTACAGTACAAGCCATAAAGGTAGTAGAGTACATAGCTAAGCCAAGCCATCACGGGAGACGGGGAGAGGATAAGAGGGAGAGGAAATTTCCACTTATATAGCTAGGGTTTTTGGTGGGCTTTTTGATGGGCCGTCTATTTTGGGCACCCAACGGAGCACCACGGGCAAAATATAGGATCCGCACCAAAACCGAAGACTTTCGGGTACCCGAAACCGCAAAACCGTGGGTGAAATTTGAGAACCAAAACCGAAAACCGCAAAACCAAAAACCGCGGATATCCAAACCGAAACCGAACCGCTGCCATCCCTAAGTGTCACACTAAAATATATAATAACTTATAATTTTTATAAAAAAATATTTAAATTTTCAACTACTTTTTTTTATTGATTTTAATTTAAGAAAAAAATTTAGTAAAGCACCCGTGTAATACACAAACGTTGTACTAGTTTACTATTGTTGTTGTTCTATATTATTTCCAAAATTATTTGCCCTATTCAGAATTTATATATATTTATTTTAATTATCAATCAAAATGCTTTGATGAAATATTTTGTTACTAATGTCATTTAACTAAGAAGATTACCATATTCACAAATGTGAAATTTTTATCGAACATGTATTACCATTTTTCATTTTCACTAACAATCCAAATAAATTAAGATTTGCAGATATTTAATCATTTGAATACATCAGATTTTG